TTTGGCAAAGTAAACAAAACCAATGGAGCCCCAGAGTACAAAACTAAAAGGCCTCTATTGAGTAAAAATGATGCACGGGTAATTAGGAGCTTACCCTTAGGATGAAAAACAATTTGGGGGGACAAAGCAGCCTCAGCAATCTCACCAGAGGAGCACTCGGGTCCAACCTATTCACTGGGACGAGAGTTGAGGACCGGTGGAATCAAGTGGTTTCAAGCCCAAACCAGTTTTTTTTAATAAAGCAATTATCACTGATTTCACTGCTGTTGTTTGCGCTATAAATAGAATCCACAATTACTGCGTTTAAAAGCTGGATACTTAAATCTAACTTGTCACTATGGAGAAGCCATTGTACTCTGAATGTCAACATGAATGGCTTTTTGGTGATTTGTGTTCACGTTCAAATATTAGATTTATTTTTTATTTTTTTATTTCATGTCAAAATTTTAGATCTGAGTGCAGAATAATAGAACTCTACGGGAGAGAGAAGTAAATATTTGAACTGAAAATGCTGATTTTTTTACCACTCAAAGACACAATATTATTCCTATGGCAAAAGTCTGGTCTTTTGTATTAAAAAAAAAGGCATTATTTCCTCTGATGCTTCAGTCAAATATGGAAAAATAATTTGAAAGTTTTTAATTGAAAAATCTATGTCACAAATTCAGTGGTAAACTATGCCGATGCAGTATTTTTATTGGTTCCTCTCAAGAAAATGCACAGTAGTACAATGAATAACAATACATAATGTAAATGTACATAACAAGGAACTTCAGTTATTAGAAAGGAGAGGCTATGAAGACAAAAATCTGATATTAGTATGAATTAAAATGGATGTAATAATAACCGAAATATTGTGATATCGTATCATCAAAAGTTTCACAATAATACCGTGGCATCACAATATATCGAATTACAAGTTCCTTTGCTTAAATGCATTTTTTTATAGTAGCAACAGCTTATAAACATCAGGAACTACATATCCCATGATTCATTTCAGCACAAACAACATGAAGTTATATGTTTTTTACTTGAATTCTTGTGATTATGACAGTAATAATTCACACCAAAATCTTGTCAAGGTATTTTAAAAGCAAAAAAAGCGTCCTATCTAGTACAATTATATCAGCCTTTCCAAAATATCGCAATAAATATCGTACCGTGAGATGCATATTGTGATAATATTGTACTGTGAGATTTGGATATTGTTACATCCTCATGAATTAATGTAAAAATGCAACTGTTTTTGTGTTTAAATCTTTGCTTAATTTTTATGTTGTATTTTATTTTATTTAAGTTTTATAAAAGTTAAATTTTAAAAAACTGAACTTGTTAAAATTGATAAAAAATGCCTTCCCCCAATCACCCCAACAGTAAAATCTGACATTGCCCCATCCCTTTATTGTGCCCCATTGCTTTTCATAGCCACTTCTCATGCGCACACGCTCCCCTCTGTTCTCAGTCCAGCCCTATAAACGCGAGAGGCAGGTCAAAGAGATATTTGTCGACATCATGTGCAAGGCGGGCGTGGACCAGCGCTGCATGCTAAACGGGCCCCCGCTGCTCCTCAGCCAATCAGGAGCGAATATGAAAATGGGGTAATGCACTGAGGCCCCAGACACCTGCCTCGGACTGTCTCTCTTCCTCTCTCTCTTATCGGAGGATCTGCCCCTAGACAGCTCTATCAACACCAGCGCGCGGCCTGCATATGGAAGCATTCGGATCAATCTCAGGCACTAGTTGTCTTCTCCCTCTGCACTTTTTCATTAGCTCAGACAAATAAAAGGCCCCGCTTATTTGGTGGGAAGAGGGAGTTCAGTAGATAGATTTTAGGAGTCTGAAATTATCGTAAATCACGGCCAATTTCAGAGGGCATAGACATTTAACAGCTTGTAAATAACGGCAAAGTGGCGCAAACTGCATTAAATTGTATGATTGCAAAAAGATCATAAATTCACATTATGTAAAATAAGAGTGTGTTTTAGCCTGTCTTAACATTGTGAAGATTCAGTAATAAACACATTATTCATGAGATAACTGGCAACTATTTTGTCAAAACAAACATTTCAGCTGATTTATGATTATAAAACTCCATTAAGGCAATGTATTCTTCTATTGGCAAAATTTCTCTTGAAATTCTTCACTACATCACTGGGCAGTTTTCTATATTAACAAACAATCGCTCAGCAGCCATAGACACAGCGTGACTGGAGATGTGCAAGGAATTGAACCTTCAGCCTCCAAACCACCGCTATCACTGATACAGAGCAAATATTGTAAATCAAATGTTGAAAATTGACATAAGCCTATATCAGTTAGCCTGATTCATCAGCCAGTTTCAGTAGAAACCATCTGACCTCACAGCGTTAGAATTCATTCGCTCGACGGTAAGCGAGTACTTCATTTAACCAATCTCTACTATTTGAGCGTGACATATGTAATACGCCGGTAACGAGGTTAACGAGGGTATATTAAGCTTTCCCAAATTCCGTAGGAAGAAGCGCAATAACATCTTTTCCCTTGATAAAATTCAGCAAATATTCTCTTTGTTCTGACTTTAAATCCTCGATCTCGAGAATCGTTGCCAACACAGAATGTATGTCTCTTCGCTGTTTGGCTGATGCCCGAACTCGCACTTCAAGGGTTTTTTGCAAACCATCTAGTGTATTCCGATTCCTGACCTAGTCGCTGGAGAGAAATGAAATTGACTGGAGGCACTAGGTGGTTCCAGCTTGACTACATATCAGTAGCCATCTTGGTGAAATTAAGGCACACGAATAGAGGTGGGACATGCATTGAAAATCACAATTGTTGTTTTGGAGATACACAAAATTTGAATACTGAGTATATCATCTATGAATGAAATTGATTTAAAAATATACAAAACTGATATAAGGGTATATTTTTGCACTTTGTTATATTACCATTTTTGCTACACTTGAGCCTAAAGAAACACATTTACAGGCACATTTTAGCACAATTTAAATGGACTGCCATAGCATCTCTATAAGAGATGGAGACAAGCTAAAAAAAATTTTGACAATATTGCATCTCCCTACATAGAAATGATATTGGATTGGCCCAAGTGTGCAATCTTCATCAACAAGCAGGACATAAGACTCATATATTTTTGGCTATGAAGAGACTGGTGGTGACCTGCGCTGTGCTTCCCCGCCAGCAAAACACAATCACAGCATACGGGTCACTGCATGTACTCGCCCCCACTCCCCCCTCCCTCACCTATGCCTCCACTGACCGGATAAAACCATAGGACCCCCCCCCCTTCCCTTCCTCTCTCTCTCCTCTCTCTCTATCCTTTCTCCTTCCCTTCCGTCTCTCCCCCATTTCTCATTCCATTCCACCTGTGCTGTATTCACACACACACTTCCACTCCAAGAGCAGCGGAGCCATCCCAGACAGCCCCAGTAAATCAGCATGCCTGTAAGTAGGTCTCACTGAGCCCGCACGATCCATGGGTGCCTGGATCTCTGCATATCACCCAGTCAATACGTCAATATCCATCTTGCGTTTCTTGTTTTAAGACCATCTCTGCCCCCCTTCGTCCCCCTTCGCCTGACCATCGTCTCCCAACAGAAATTGCAGTCGTCAATCACCGCGTTTGTAAGCGAGTCATCTACAGCATTAGCAAAAAATGCATAGATATGTAAACAAGGCGGATAAGTGCAAACAAAAATGTCCGCCGTGCTCTCTGTGGAAATGAAGAAGTGGGTCAGGGAGAAGCGAGAGAGTGTCTAAAGAATCCAATTGAGCAGTTTATACATTCAAAAATCTATAGACCAAAGATCAGTTGGTGTGCAAATAAACTCTGCTTGAAGAGCAAATCTATGTAAAATGTATGATAGAGCCATGCATGGGATGTGATGGGTGATATAATGACATAATAGCCATGCAAGAGAAAAAACAACTACAGCCAAATGGACAAAGAAAGCTTTTAAGCAATGATGATTCTCAATGCTAGCTGATTAGCCTGGTCAATACATCTGGCAGGTACACAGACGCCTCGCAGTTGTCCGCTTTTTTGCAGGAGCTAAGAAAACAGGAAAAAAATAAGGTGAAAAATTGCACTGGCTGAGTAAGTGAAGCCGAATAATCTATTTTGTCAGGCCTCCAGATTTGTGCTTGGCAAAGTGCTCGCTCAGTCACAGGTCAGATTCAGTGTCAGGCCACCTTAAAATGCCTTGGAAGGATTCTGCGCAGATCTACTGACAAATAGTCACGCATGCCATTTTGAATAGCTTAGCTGCAACATCAATAAAACAGAGACATTTGACTACACTCACGAGGGCGCGCAGGGCTAAGTTGTGAGAGGAGGATGGGATTGCAAACGCTAGTGTGGTTGCTAAGATGAGGAACTACCCGATTTGTAGTGGTGGAAAACGAAAGATAATATGTTGCTTTCATTAGACTTTAATATGGCAGAATTTAGTGGTTTATTCTTACACGTTTTTGAGTCAAAAAGGGACGATCTGATTGGTTGTTAAAAAAAAAGACAAGAAGGAGTTAATAGCTAGAGGAGTATATATTAATATTTTTGTGTTTTTATAAAATACAAAATTAAAATATGGACTATATTGGCTATATCATAAAAAAAGACTTGCAATTGCAGTTTAGTGTTTGCATTCACATTCATGCTCTATTTGAATCAACATCAAGATAGTTACCATTACTTTTTAGCAAAAATGTAGTGGATTACTCTTACAGCTATCATGAGAATGTTTTCACCACGCCCAATCGCTAATTTGCATTGGTTGGTAGAACTTTTTTTGGCAGTTAGTAGAAAGATAATATTTTGAGATTTCAAATTGACCTTGACTGACTTTGAGAACTAAACAGCAAAAATATTTTACAACAGAATCCACTGTAACAGCATCCAGGTCTTTGGTTATAAAAATCGGGTAGTTCCACTTTCACTACATATTGGATGCTGTCTGGTGCAGCCCAAAGCAGTGACCCAACATTGTAAGCGGGTTGTGTCTCACCTCGGGCAGGGGCATGCCGTTGATGATCAGGTCTGGCTGCTGATGACCTTGTCCGGGGAAGGGGTGCTGGTAGCCGTGGTTAGGGGCAGCGTTCCGGGAGTTCTGGTTCTCCACGTTTAGGAAGGTGCTCTCGGAACGCCTGCAGCCCAGGGGCAGGCTCTGCTGGTGGTAGTCGAAGTAGTTGAGGGAGGAGGTGAGAGAGGAGCAACTCACCACATTCATCTTGTCGGTCTCCTCCACGTCGCGCGGCACCAGGCGGATGTCATTCTTGTTGAGCTTTTTCTTTTTGCTGGACTTCTTCTGGTTGCCGTAGGAGTACTCCGCCACCCTGCGCAAGTAGAAGAAACTGAACAGACTCAATAAAGCAGTGCTCTGTCTTCAGCTATTGTTTGTACAGTCAAAAGAAGCGGTGCCAGCGTTCCATGCCAATAAGGGCACTGTTCCACCGTGGACACTTGATCTAAGCCAGTTTTGTCTCTGTAGTCTGCGCTTATTGTGCTCAAGAGTAATGTAGTTAGGCTAATTTGTTCGTGTGGGGCATAACAATACACAACTCCACATTAAGTAGCTTACAGAATATCAGTGTACCATAATACTATACTAGGAATAGTAGTATGCTGTGTGAATCTTCATTTGATTAGCTTTCAAATCAAAGTATTTTTAAAGAATTATTGATTACTTTGATTTATATGTTTTGTGTCTCTAAAATCAGCTCAAAACACAGGAAATTAATGTAAACAAAATGTAACTACAGCCTACAGCCTTTTTGCAAAATTGTCTGTAAATCTATTCTAATCACTCAGACAAAAAGCAGTGAAGGAAGGTTTGTTATTATTAATGCAATCAGAATAATTGTTGCAATTATGTTTTGTATTTTTCAGCAAGAAATTCTTGGCATTTCTTTGAGGACAACAATGTCTCCTTTTTATCTGATAGGAAACATTCAACTATATGGCCATATTGGCCAACATTAGGTTTATTTGAGATTAAATGACACAAAATCCCACTAACTATCCAAATCACTGTAAAGGATTATGTCTGCTTTGTTGTGTCCAGGGCTAGAACCGCACACTTTAAAGTTAACACTGAGATAGTTTTCCCATCCCTTTGTTTTGCGTTCGCATGCTTAACAACAAGTCACAAAGGCAAGGCACACAATATGCAAACATGCCAAGACCACACAGGCAAAGCCACAACACGACGTTCAGACCGGGCAACAGCACTACCGGTCTATGCAATTTTATTCAAAGCACACGTACAGTAACCCACACTAATTCCATTTGGGCTCCTTTCTTTCATTATCAGGCGCAGTCCACTGGCAGTATGGAGAGAGAACTGCAGATTCAAATTCATTTAGGCTGCTTTGGCTCGCTGCTGCAAACTTGAACTGAAGTCATTTGAGTTTAATAGGAGCAAATGAGCAACACAGCCATGTTCCATCAAAGCGTCCTCAGAGTGGGGGAAATAACCATTCTTTGCACAGACTTGCACTTTTTACAAGTCTAGAGCCTGTGAACAGATGCTGCTATCTCTACAGCGATGACTGCCTAACTTCAGTAGACATATTCCTTACGATGTGGTGTTTGTTCCATTAGTATTACTTCCAACTAAATTCTTATCCTTACAGCGGGGAGCATATGGTCTATTATCCTTGCTTTAAAATCCATAAACATGAAAAGTATTTCCCTTGCTTCAAACCATGCTCATAACTAGGACTGCCGAATGTATGCATCGGGTAAAAAAATAAAACAATTATCAGATTTTTTTTATAGCAACTGCTACCTCAGAAAATGTTTCAGCTTGCAAGCACTGTAAGGACAAAATAAGCAGAGCAAAACAAGTGAATAAAACTGAGGGCTAAAAGGGCTAAAATTTGATTAAACTAGGGTTGTCTACTAGTGTTGAAGCTGGATACTCATATGAACAAGTATTGATACTGAAAAGAGATGACATAAAAAGGACAAAAAAATTCCTGAACAGTAAAAAAAAAAAGAAACAATAACTTTTAGCAGTATCTCTTTTCTTTAGTATTGAAATCACAACCAGAACAAACCAAAATCTCTAGATCATGTACGTGATAATGAGACCAGACTGATAAAAACTATATATTAACACTTAAATTAAAGGAAAGGTTTTTTGAATGGTCGCAATTGGCAAATCACAAAGGCTGCAAATTATATAAGCACCATCATTTTCTTTGTAAACAACTAATATACCTAATTTTATGAAGTAAAACTATGCTAAGCCTGTAGTGTTCTGAAATGAATGGGTTTCTTGTATTAGTTTATCAGATAATGTTTCAGTCTACTCTCAGATCTTAATCTCCTGGATGTGTTTACAATGTGCACGTTTAACAAAACTGAAGAATAAATCAAATCTCAATGGTTGTCAGAAAAATTCTGATTAGATGTTTTCTTTCTTTCTTTTCTTTTTTTTCAAAAATTCAGCCCTTCTATTGACCAGGTGAAATGAAAGCAAATCCGAGTCATCCAGATCTAAAATAACTTGACACCAAAGAAATTTGACATTCTTTTTAGAGAGTGTTTGAATAATAAAGAAGACTTTCATTTTTTTTATATTCAGTCACCAGTGTGCACATCCCAAAATTCAAATCTTGTAGAATAGAAATCTTCAGAGGCAGGCAGCCAGGGCAGACAGAGGGACAAGCAATGAATTTGAGATAAGTGCTGTTCAAATTCAAGGTGGCAACTGAGAAGGAGGCTGTATCAGGAGTGATTAAAGCGCCCAGCAGGGAAGGCCTCTCACACAAGTGCTGTGAGCAGTGTGCATTCACAATCTGTTGTGCCCATTACTGTTGCCTGTGCCAATAAGAGACCTCACTTCTCATTTCAGCTGAGGCCTGGAGGTTAACACTGAGCCTCCCTAAAGTAATCCAGCCATTTGGACCAGTTAAGCTAGATTGTCATTTTAAAATTTTGAATTATTATGGTAAAATATGTAGATTTTATTTAAGATTTTGGTTGTTTAGTTTAGTCCCATAGCAATTATGCAGTTATTGTATTTTAAATATTTTCTTAATTTTGTTTAAAGTGCCCTATGCAACTTTTCTGAAAGTATAGGCACACCTACATGCTTGTCTCCATGGAGATGCTATTGTTTCACCTGGAATGTTCTATAGTATGGCATTAAATTAATCTATCTCCATGGAGACAAGCAGTTCACACCACCAGGCCAAGCTGCAGATGGAGCTGGGCAATTGATCAAATTCAATTAATTCAGTTTTTTTTTTTTTAAGTCAGTCCCACTCTGACTGTGATTAAAATCAATAAAAATCATAATTGTCCAGTGTGTGCAAAAAACAATAACATTTTTTATTTTTTGGCCATGGATACCTGAAAAGTGCACCTTTAACTTTTAAGTTAATACTAATTCACTTGGTTCAAAACAAAATGGGAGTCATGTGAGGACATATTAAGTATTGCTCTAGGCCTGTGATAATATGTGATTTTGAAACGTGATTGTAATTAAAACCAATCAATAAATATTATCTACAGTGTCATCTAATCAATACAGTTGCAATACTGTCACATAGCTTGTCTCCTTATGACTAGCAGCTGGAAAACTGTGTAACTTTGCTTCAAATTGACCAAATTATGTTTAGAGCCAAATATGATTATAGCTCCAGGTTAAATTCTCAAACCCAATCTATATGTAAATTTATACTTGTAACATGGCGCAGGGAAATCAAAGGCAGAGTCGATGCTTAGATTGATGAACTAAACAGCATCTCTGTGCGCACAACCTGGAAAATAATAATCAGGTGACCTCCGAGCATTCACAATGACGACTTCAAAATGATTCCATGTCATGTTATTGATTTGATTTCACATGATCGTGCAATAGAAAAGGACTCCTACAGTGGCCAAAGATAATCGCTCTGGCTGCACATGAACCATAAAAATGTCTGCTACTGCTGGTTTATATTGAAGTCGGGGGGCATTAATTGTCAGCAACCACCGCCACAAATTGGACATGACAGTTTGGGCGGTGGTATTTACGAGTCAATTGGTTACATTCTGTGGATTAAATCAGTCAATCACTCATATTGCCATAGCATGGAACAGTGGGCCCTGAAGCTAAATATCAAAAGAACTTCCGCTGTACATCTGATTAAGCAAATTTTCACTGTTGATTTTGTGGTTTCATACATGCTACATCACAAAAGCAATCACATAGAGAATAGCAGCCTCAGCGTAGCATGCTTTGTCTACACCATCTTCAAAACACATAGAAATGATAGGGCTGCACTGTACGATACAAAATGATCTCATGTAAGAGTATATCGATCCGTTATTGGACACGTCTGAGTAGAGGTGGGCCAACTATCATAATACTGATAATATTGTGAGTGATGTTTTGAATACGTGCGGCGTTTTAATATTAAGTAGGCCTAAATCATTTAGAGTAAAAAGTTTTGCAAAAAGTTGAGACGAAAAATTTAAACTAATAGTATAAAGTAAAAATGCTGTACTTTTGTGGGGGATTTCAAATTTGTTTGACACCTAAACCTCAACAAACACATTTAAGACATGTTTTAGCACATTTCTATGGGAATGACATGATATCATCTAAATATTGTTACTGGAATATTTATTTTTGTCAATATCACCCACCCCTATTCTGACAAATTATCAATTTTACTATAAAAACAGCAGTATGCAATGAGTATTCAAACTATGCTTTGGTTTGGAAATTTGGCTACACTTTGAGCCACCTACAGCCATTTTCCTTTTTCATTTTTTTTTTAAGTGCAGCCCTACCGCCTCACATCAGATCTGATCAGTACCTGCAGTTGTACGTCCGGATTTCCTTGTTGTCCCGCTTGCACTTAACAGCCACAAAGATCATGGTGACGAAGAGGATGGCTGCTATAGAAGCCAGGGCGATGATGAAGATGAGGGACAGGTTGACTGGTCCAATAGACTCCTGTGCATTCAAATCCGGGGAAAGGTAGACAACAATGTAGGCCGACGCGGAGAGGGCGGGCTTCCCGTGGTCCCTAGCCACCACAGTGATCTCATAGGTGGATTTGGCGCTTTCTCCAAACAACCGCGTGGACCTCACCTCTCCGTTCACCTGGTCTATCTCAAAATAAGCCCTGTCTCCTTCTGAAATCGTGTACGTCAGTCTCCCGTTCTCCCCCTCGTCGTAGTCGTCCGCTTTTACCTGGGTCACCATGTAGCCCACTCCCGCGTTCCGAGGGATGGAGACCTCAGCGGTGCCATTGACCAAAGGGGGGTTAGTCATGACGGGGGTGTTATCGTTCACATCCAGGACAACAATGCGAACAGTGGCGTTGCTGGACAGTGATGGATTGCCATTGTCCCGGGCCAAAACTTTAAAATCAAAAGTCCTGGTGTACTCGTGGTCAAATGATCTCATGGAATAGATTCTGCCTGATGGGTTGATACTCACGTACGTGTTTACATCCATGTGCTTTATTTCACCGGGGACTATGGAGTATGACACAGTGCCATTCATGCCTAAATCCGGGTCCTCAGCTGCCACCTCCAACAGGCAGGACCCGGGCAAGTTATTCTCCATGACCATCTCTTGATAGTGTGGCTTTAAGAAAAGGGGAGGGTTGTCGTTCTCGTCGGTAACTTTAACTACGAGGGATTTGGTGGCGCGTAAAGGAGGTATACCACTGTCCTCTGCTTGTATAGTGAGGTTATACGTGTCCTTCTGCTCCCTGTCAAGTCTGCCATCCACAAGTATAGTGGAAAAGCTCTCGTATTCTTGCAGCCTGAACGGAACATTGCCCTGGAGCCTGCACTGCACTTTGCCGTTCGCCCCCGAGTCCTTATCGGACACTCTCACTAACGCAATGACATATCCTCTCTGTGCGTTCTCGCTAACTTCCACCATCTCCGTGTTGAGTGACAGCAGGCTGATGACGGGCGGGTTATCGTTCATATCCATCACGTTGACTGTGACTTTGCAGTGGGCAGGGATGGAGTTGGGACCCAGATCTTTGGCTTGAACGTCTATTTCGTAGATTTGTGTGCTCTCATAATCCAAAACGCCGTTGACAGTAATGACCCCAGTTCTCGGGTCAATTTTGAAAGCGTCCCTTGTCTTCTCAGTGACGTAACTGTTAAAAGAGTACACAATCTCTCCATTAGTGCCCTCGTCCGGATCTGTGGCGTTCAAGTCTATCACTATAGTATTAACGGGAGAGTTCTCCATTACATTGACTGTGTACACTGGCTCGTCAAACACTGGATTGTTATCATTGGAGTCTATTACTCTGATGTTTAACTGGACCGCGCCTATTTTTGGCGGGTCCCCTCCATCCTCTGCGCTCAGTTCATATGTATAATGTGATTGGGTTTCCCTGTCCAGTGATTTCTGCACGACAAGCTCTGCAATCTTGGAGCCGTCGCCTCTGGTCTTGATTTCTAGTCCGAACAGCTCATTGGGAGTGATGGAATAGGACTGCACTCCGAAGACACCTGAGTCCGGATCGCTTGCCCCCTCTAGGGGAAAGCGAGTACCAGGGGCGGCGTTTTCAGAAATTTCAATGTCAATGTGGCTAGTGGGGAATCTGGGTGCGTTATCATTCAAATCCTCTATTTCAACTTTGATGACGCAGATTTCCATAGAGTTTGACATCACTTCCAGGGAAATAATGCACTTTGGGTTTTGTCGACAAACTACGTCCCGGTCGATTTTCATTTGGGTTGTAAGGATTCCGCCCGGGCTCAGTTCCACCCATCGCGGCTCGGAATTAGAAATCACCCTCAGGTACGGAGGCTGCGGTGCAATCTGAAATCCCTGCTTTAGTGCGTCCTTCGTCACGTTCCCAATCACAGATCCGGGCTTCATCTCCTCGTTTATTCCATATTTGAGGTTAATCACAGCCTCGGCTCCGATCCAAAACAACAAGAACAGCAAGATTAACTGTATTAACTCCATCTTCTTGCTTTGATTTGAACCTGTTGACTTTTCTCGCTCTGGTTGTGGACAATTACGCACGAGAACCACAGAACGCCGGTCTCATCTCATTCAAAAAGTCCACTGTTAAACATGAGAAATTCTAACAAGTGTCCTACTTCACTCTCAGAGCACATCCTCCAGTGGACTGCAGCGGCACCGGGAACATGCCGGAGATTCACACTATACTCTGTCAGAGCCGTGTAAATCCACGAAGCACCCGTCAGGCGACCGTTACGCACGACTCACAGCACAAACTGTTCATCTTTTAAGTATCAACGGATAGTTAACGCAGAATATGAATCCTTTTCAGCGTGTTAGTCCACAGAATTGTGAAAAAAAGTCCTCCAATATGGTCAAAAGACAGAATGGGTGTAATTGCACATCTTACTTGTCTGGATGCACAAAATATTCAGTCCTTAGATGTTAAGGAACAGTGCTGGGGAGCACTGGAATGGCACCACATCGCATAAGTCCAAATAAGCTTTTCAGCCCGAGTCTTATCTGTTTAATTATTTCCCAGTTTGAAAAAGGTTGCAAAATATCCCGAAAACGAGTCCAAAGCGGGGGAAAAGCAATCCGCTGTGTGCGCAGAGGGAGGAGACGCTGCGCCTAAAGCCGTGCCATGTTGAGGCTGCAGCAGAAGAAGCCTCTATTATCCAGGAGGAGACAGCAGTCAGTGTGTCGTGTGCGTCTGTGGCTCTCTCCGAACGTGCGCTCCTCTCGCTTCACTGGCGCAAACTGGCGGCCGCGCGTCTCCAAGCCCAGCGCTCAGTCTCTGGACCCGCATTCCCCTCAGCCAATCAGAGGTTACACAGGAGGCTCTCAGTGCTGGTGGGCGGGGCCAAGCACAGCAAGCAACTACCTGTTCTGTTCTCTCTCCTGCTTCCTCTCCTTTTTTTGCAGATAGACTAGGCGACGGGCAATTACTGCATTACAAGTTGAAACACGAAGTGGTGATATTAGATGAGTCCCAAAAGTCGGGTCTCTCTCTTTCCCTCCACCTCTCTCGGGGCGGGCACCCATGGGAGTCTTTTGCCGTATCCCTTGAGTATAGAAAAAAGTATTTCCCTCTTAGAGCCAAGGGTGATATGCTACACTTTTTCTCATTAGTCTCAAACTTGGTGCGTTTTATTCATGTTGTTATTTTTATCAGTCTATATGTGGAGCAGATCTAATCTTTCTGAATGAAGCGTATATTTCCCAAGTCCCCTACGCGTGTTGGTGTACTGCCCTTACAAGTCTCAACACTACGATATATCCTTTATTTATCTTTTATCGCATAACACAACCATGGTGAGACGATTTCCAATTATGAGCCTTTCTCCTATATCGATTATAATACTTGAGTGTGACTGAACTTACATCTCTCCACTGGATCAATAGGCAACACAACACGGTTTCTTTATTATTTAAAAAAAAAAAAAAAAAAAAGCCCAGACTGCATCTCTTTTTTATGATAGCCAGTGTTATTATGAAGGGATACTATTACGCGCAACGCACTTTGGATGTAATTGGTTATTTAAAGCCCACGTACAAGCAGCAGATTTCTTAATGGCATCTAACGGTATTAAACTGACTATTTTGCGTAAATACGACATTTAATAGTAGCTATATAATTCTAGTAATTTTGGGAATTAATGGGGTTTTCAAAGGTGCGAACAGGGCTGATTATAGTAAAGCTACTCTTGGTTAAAATGCAACGCTCATCGACACGCCTGCATGTTGCTATATTGCTCACTCTTCTCAAATCTTCTCATTCACACAGACGCGTCAGCCAGGCCTCTCCGCTCCTCCTCTGTCTGCTCCCCTCACCAGCATCACAGCACTGCCGACACCGGGCCGATTTCAAAGTCGCAAGGGTGACACCTAGCGTCCACAGCGGTCCCAACTCCTCATAGCTGTGTGTATTTCTTTCACCTCCCCAAAACAACAACAACATCGCGTGTGTGCCCATAAGAATAACAATGAAACATGGTGCCAAATCAATTTCCTTTTTGCATTTACATCAGAACTCGGCCATTTGACCACAATTAATTCACTGTGCAAAAGGCGAATTAGTGCTAAGCCATATCCAATTCAATGCTAATCAATAAAGGGAGATTGAACTGTGGTGGGTGGAGAAATGGGGTCAACGCTTGGATAGAGTTCATATTTTATATTCATTTATGCCTTTTTTTTAAGATTAAATTAAATATATTAGACTAAATCAATAAAATAAGACATAGAAATACAATATTTTGTGTATTTGATTGCGAGGGCTAAAGGCGTAATTTCCTGTCAAAGTTTAAAATTGAAGGAGTTATGATTATGAATAATTCTGCAAGAATCAAAGATGAAGTGTCTCTAAATTCACAGCTAAACACTTCAGAGGTAATTGTGGCATTGATTGAAATACGTATTTTTTCTTAGAATAGTTATTTTTTATCACAAACTGTCTAATCTGAGCATCTCTATTGCACATAAATACTCAATGTCAGACTGTTAACCAACAACCAGAAGCACAACAACAAGGAGCAGTGTGGTGCCTGTGGTGGCCTTGAGCTACTGTTTCATTGAGGGTAACCTCCTTACAAAGTACAACACTTATCCTATCATCCTGTATCCTACCAATACACCAAAAGAAATGTTTTTCAGGGGTTTAACCCTTGAAAACCTGAAAAAGATACAATGACTTTGCAACAGCTGACACATGTTTCTGCATTTAATTTGATATTATAGTAATTATAATGTAAGAGCTGCATGTACCACTAAAATGTATGAAATGAAGACATGGGAGACCACAGCTCAGACTGAGTGGTTTTCTCATAACAGCACTGTAAAAAGTTTTGATTCACATTCTGACTGTTGTGTCCTTGTGCAAGATAGGCTCATCTTACCTTAAACTGAGTGTGTGTGAGAGTTATTGGCACTGGTTGGAGACATTTGTGAATGAATGAATAATAAAGTTGAATATTGTTGGAAAATATATAAGACATCTAGTCCAATGAGGTACATTTGGTCTTCTGATATTTTATATCAGGTTCTTTTTTCAGACCAAGAGTTTGTTTTCATACCTGACAGTTTCGACTGCTCACTACCGCACTTCCTCAGAGTGGTCACGTGATGTTGCTGTGATGTGTCCAGTCAGCTGATTTATACAGGCTTGATGCTGATGGTGTTGCCATACCGTCTCCACCAGTAGGAAGACAGCGCCAAAACCTGTATAAATCAGTTGATCGGAAATGTCACAGCAACATCACGTGAGCACTCTGAGGAAGAGCGGTAGTGAGCAGTCGAAACTGTCAGGTATGAAAACAAATTTTTGGTCTAAAAAAAGAACCTTATAACATATATTAGACATCTCTCTGTAAACTGTACTGCAGCTCATCCACCCTTCCTCTCTCTCATTTACAGCAGAGGAAACTTGGTGGTAATGTACATTTTAACTGCAGCTGTCAGCAATATGAATATTTGTAACTTTAGAATGTAGCCTATAATTGTAATCTTTATGTGCCCATTTCTTAAAATAACGTAATAACACATACCTGAATTGTCAATACCTTATCCCATTCAGTATATATACATGTGTCATGATTTACACCCTGTATATCACTGCTGTTAACCCTACAATGTGTGGGTTACCAAATACCCTGCGGCCATCTGCCCAATGAAAACTTTTTGGTCCAATTTGGAGTGCTCCACAGCATGCTGAGGGCTAAGAGGGTTCACACTGTAGCTTATGTCCTCACCCCTGCAGTTCAGCCTGGTCCAACCCTCATGCTCCAGGCGCCATGTTGATCATAAACTATACTACAGAAATTTTGTATTTCTTTGTCTTCCAGCTCCATAGAGCAGAATATACTGTACTTTATTTACGAGCAGCAGTCTACCTCAATATACTTCCCATTGCTTTTGTTCACTATTGATTTTTGGACTGCACTAAAATCCCGACATTTTCTTGTGTTGAAAGGGCGGGTGCATTGAATTGAGTTGTTGTTAGTTTTCATTATTTGTATTTGAGAAAACTCCTGTAGCCATGAAAGTCCTATATTACACAAAAAGGATTCTTGTGAGCTTTTACCCATGTTATAATGCTGCTACCTCATCAAAAGCATATCCAGATTTGTGCTTTGTTTCATTCACGCATGTTTGAGGAATCCTGGTTAATTAGTCTGTTTACATCTCCAAAGCTCTGTTTCAACTTGAGATGTCATGTAGTGGTACTTTTCAAGTTAACAGCTGCCTTTTATCTTTAGTTCAGCAGAGATTAACAATGCCAGGACTGAAATTATCCAAATGACACTAATGAAGGTTTATGGAGTTTAAAAACAAAGTAGGGCACTTTCTGTATTACCACATGACATCATCAAGTGAACTAGAGTGTTTTCAGTTTAAAAACTCAGCCTGAATATGCAGGTTTGTGTGTTAAACATCTGTGAATTAAACAGTTACAGAATTCCAGGTGGTTTTGATGAGGAAACAACATTATATCATATATAGATCCAGAAATAGTGTAATATGGGTCCTTTAAATTATCATAAAATTGCAATTGTTTTTACCAATACATTGTTTATGTTTGTGATATACAATAGAGTTAAAAAAAAAAAAACTGCACAGATTGTATGAACAGGTACTTAAAATGAAACAAAACATGAAGTTGAGTATAATAGTTAAGAATAAACATAGACTCAAGCCTGACCTGCAAATGCCGTGCCACGCAAGCACTGTGTCCTAGTCCCAACCCTAACCCTAACCATGCCATTTTTCAAAATTTTTCATTTTTAAAAAACACACAAAGTATATGACAAACTTTGTGTAAGGATGACCCACTGGCAAGGACAGATTTGACAGATTAAAATGTTATTGTTCCACACAAATTGTTTAGGGGTCACTATTGCACCCATTTTTGTATTTTCTTACATTAGTCTGTTCAGGGTCAGGGTGTGAACCCACGAGTAATGATTTGAGTGAAATCTGCCAAAGTATGTGTAATTTGTTGATTT